GGGAAAACAGACAAAGATCCTTCTAGAAAACTACCACCCAGTGTCTGGATCAGCAGCAAGTAGTGAAGCATGAAGATGATCAGTTTCAGTTGCTACAGGCCCACCACCATCATCCAGTGGTAGACCTGGACTACCTGGGAGATGGAGGCTGACAGGAATGTGGGGGGAGGTTCTTTCTGTGATAGGGGGACTTTATCACTTCTTTGGAATTTCCCACTTGAAATACTTATGGCTGCTATATTTCACCAGCTCAATGCTGCAACCTCCTTGCCCAGCTGTTCCACACAAGCATTGGCCAGGCATAGGTAGGCCTGCAAGTGTAGCTAGGTAGGTCATGGCCAGCTGCAGCCTACACAGCACTACCAGCACCTGGAGGCACAGAAGCTGCAGCAGAGGTCAGCTTGTTAGGGGAGAGAATAAGCTCTCCTTTCACTGGCTAGGGTCTTCTCAGATTATCCTAGGCCTCAGACACCCACCACATGCACCCAGGTTTTTGTTGTTGTCTTTTAGGAGAATGAAGGTTAAGGAATCTGAAGAACACTAGACAAATGAGACAACTGAAGAAAAGGGACAAATCATCTATCCCAGGAAACAGAGTGAAATGGCATATGGGTATATCATCTAAAAAAATTTTATGTCTTCTTAAATGTTTGTTTCTGCTCTTCTCTAAAGATATAACACTATTGGTCTTCTAATAGTCCCAGTTCAATTAAAATTTAAAGCTGACTTTGGAGTTGGAGAATGGCTCTCTCCTTCTTTAAACTCAAGCATGTTGTTAAAAGGAAAATGCAAACTCCCTGTATCATGCCAGAAGAAAAGATCCATCTTCTGCTATGGGACAGGAGAAAAGCCAAATTAATTAAGGGACTATTCTATTACTAATCTCAACTCTTTGATTCTATTCTGATTCTTTAAACTGTTCTTAAAGTATGAATTTTATATCAAAATTTACAAGAGTAATATATATAGATATATATATATTTTAAACTTTGTTAAGATATAAATGGTCATATAGAGTACTAACTAATTCTAAAAAGCCACATATATAGTCTTCTTCTTCCCAGAGTGTTATAAATAAATAAATCTGCCCTGAAGTCCCCCCCTATACCTCCTCCCTAGCTATTGGCTGCTCCATTTTTTTATTGCACCAATCACAGCAATACATTTTCACACAGCATACAAATATCTCACAACATTCTGATCTCAGTTTTCCTCATTTCAAGTTCAAACTCAAAAAAGGAAAAGAAAATGTCCCAGATGGTTCTTTCTACACTCAGGGTTGGACTAGGTTTTCCTTTCTGGTTAAGCATGTGCCCATGGGTTACACCACATCCTGCATGTGCTTGCTTCTACTAGAATTCAGCACATATGCATGTACTACAACTCTATAGTGTCACAGGAACTCTGGCCAGTCAGGACACTTGTGCATTACCCCTGTGGCTTTGTGACTGGATGACTGATGGTGTTGAACTAAATAATATTCTCTCTCTACACTTTAACTTACACTTTTCAAAAGTGCTGGCACATGCACTATAACTCCTTGGTCTGTGGATTGTCATCCACTTTTTAGTACACGGCTTCTGGGCTCACATTAGCTTCTACAGTGCTCAGTGGATCACCCCATGAGCAAATAACAATCACAACAGTCATGTGAATTGTGAAATCAAGCAATAAATAGATCTGAATGTTTGAAAGTCCTATGACATTCAAAAAGCCAATAACCAGGTCAGAATGATATTTTTGTTGTTGTTGTTGTTGTTGTTGTTGTTGTTGTTGTTGTTTTTCCCTGATTTCTCTTTAGCTCCTTCCTGAAAGAAAGCCTTTGCAAGCCAAAGAGGTTCTCATACAAGTGTCCAGTATGGAAACTATGAGAAATGGTCCTTTTGAGGCTGGAAAAATAGCTTGGTCAGTACACTGCTTGCTGTGGAAGGGGTGAAGACCTGAGTTTGATTCCTTAGTCCAGCCCCAGCCTTCCCCAACTCAAGACCTTGCTCTAATCTTGTATCTGCTGGTCTAGACAAGCCAGGTCTATCTATATGTCTCACTCTCATCCTGTTTCTTGTCATGGCCTTCCCCTCTCCATAGGTCCAGCTCTCAGTACAGTTTGAGGATGAGCTGCATCAATGCTATAGGCTTACCACTGTCACTTAGCAGTAGACAGGAACCACCTGCTGGGGTAGGCAGTGGAAGCTGCAGGAGGTCTTCTGAGGGCCAGGGGACACATCTAGGCCCCCTTATCCCCTGGGTCCTCCTGCCTGGGGTGCTTACCTACCTCTGGTTCTTTCTCAGGCACCATGTGGCTATCTTCTTACACAGCTGGCCAGGCTTACATAGGTCTACAGGTACAAAAGGGTCATGGCCTCCATCAGGAGGTACAGTGCCACCAAAACTCAGATGCACAGAGAATAGAAACCAAGTTCTACAGCCTGAAGCAAGATGCCAGCCATCAAGTGAGTACCCTTTCACCTGCACCGGGTCTTCCTAACTCACCCCAGGTCTCAGACACCAATATCTGAGAAGAAAGTCCACTAAGGCACAGACAGAAGGTTGCATCCTCCAGAGGTATCTGCAAGAAGACCCAGGCTATAAGCTTCCTTTTGAGTCACAGGGTGGACAGGAAGCTGGAGTGCAGCAGCAGCCTGGGGATGAGCATCATGGTGGGACCAGACTCTTGACTCCCCCAGCCTTTTTTGTAACCCTCACTCTAATCTACCAGACAACTGCCCTAACTGCATCAATGGTTGGTCTACAGATAGGGTAAAGCATTTGGGTTTGTCTGGGCCAGTGGCAGCTCTGGTGAGGAAAGTGCCTTAAGATTAGCCCCAAGTGAGTGACCAGCTTACCTATGGGAAACCTAAAGACAAGAGAAAGTCTCAAGTACCCTATAGCTGCTCAGAATTTAGCTTAGGTGCCTCTGGTTGCTCTCTCACACATATATCCTTATCCTCCAAAATCCAGTCACCAGGATTCACACCCAGTCTTAGCCCTTCTTCTTCAGAACCAGTTCTAAGTTATGGGTCATGAATACCATGCCTGGAAAAAGGAGAGAACCAAGTAGCATGGATTTCAAGGGTTTCAACCCCAGGCTGGCTGATAGGCTAGTTATCAGAACCTACCTGTCTCCAATGCTGTAGTTACACAATTGCAGACAATGCGCTCTCTCTGTCTCTCTCTGTCTCTGTCTCTCTGTCTCTGTCTCTGTCTCTCTCTCTCTCTCTCTTTCTCTCTCTCTCTCTCTCGTTTGTTTTTCAGGACAGGGTTTCTCTGTGTAGCTTTGTGCCTTTCCTGGAACTCACTCTGAGGACCAGACTGACATGGAACTCACAGAGATCTGCCTGGCTCTGCCTCCCAAGTGCTGGGATTAAAGGCATGCATCACCACCGCCCAGCCGATAATTCTCATTTTTAACTGGGTACTTAGGATTCCAACTTGGGTCATCATGCTTGCAGAGGAAGTACTGATACCCACTGGCCAACTCCCCAGCTGAGACTACCTCTAATTTTAATTTTTTGGTGCTAAAGTATGGCAGCACAAGAGCTAGGCTGATACATGCACTTGGTAGGGAGGATATTCACATCCAACCCCTTGTCTGATTTGTGGGTTGTCTATGGCTTGTACCTGGAGAGTTTGAAGCTGGAAGGGGCTGTGCCACACACATACCAGAGCAACCTTTCTTTCCCCTCCCTCCAGCTTGAGCCCTTATTGTCAAAAACATTTAGGGGCTTTTGTGGAAGGGAAGAATCAAGTCCAGGGACCTTTTTTTTTTTTTTTTTTTTAAACATTTTCACATTTAGATGTATGTGGGGAGGAGGCATGTCATCACAAGCACATGAAAGTCAGGGGACAACTTGTGGGAGTCTATTCTCTCCTTCCATATGTGAGTCTCAGGTTTTGTACTCTGGGCATCAAGCTTAGTGGCAAGCATATTGACGTGCTGAGTACATCTTGCCAGCTCTAGATACCTATTATTCCTCCCTTGATGTTTTGTTTTGTTTTTTTCCTCTTTTATAATCTGCAATGTATTTTATGTGTGCCAAGGTGGTAGTGTGTGTGTGTGCTCACACGAGTGTGTGCCTGATGTGCCTGAATCTACTCTCCTGTCCCCTCACAGAAGCCGTAAGAGGACATTTGGTGTCCTCCTCTATCACTTAGGTAGGGTCTCTCCCTGAGTTCATTAGGCCAGCAAGCTGAACAGATCCTCCTGTCTGAGCCCACCCAACCCAACCTCCAGCTTGGGTTCCTAGCATATGAAAGACACCGGGCTAGTTAAGTGGTTGCTGGGATCCCAAATCCAGTCCCACTGCCCCACAATAAGCATACCGACCTCTGAGCCATCTCTTCAGTCCAGGACACAAATGAAGGAGGACGGGTACTGCGTGAGGCCCGGCCTTCCCAAGTTGAGCTGATTTTTCCCATTTTCAGTTGTTTTAATAATTCTATGTGGGTCTACTCCTGTGAAGGTGCTGACGCCTGTTCACATCTCTGATGTCAGAGAAGAGCATAGAGTGTCTTATTATACCATTCTTGACCTATTTCCGTTCAGACAAATTCTGTCACTGAACCTGGAGCTGGGCCATCTTGCCCAGCCTACTCCTATCCCCACCCTTTCCATGGTACTACCATTACAGGCACCCTGTTTGGATTTTAATTTGTTACATGTTTGTGCTTGGGAATTTAGGTTTGTTAGCTTTTTTTTGGCACATATTTTTTCCCTAAGGGGCTGGAATGCCTTGTTAGGCTGGATCTCTTGTATCTGAAGTCGTCAGAGACCAGGGTGAGGGGTCAGGACACGACAGTGTCCTTCTGGATCAGGGTCTGCTCCAAGCCGAAAGAAACCATGTGAAGCAGTTGTATAGGAGAGAGCCCAGGTGCGGCAGCTGTGGGGTAGGAAGTCGGACACAGAGTGGGCGTGGCCGCTCTCAATGGGGAGGAGAGACATTCACCCACGTGACAGGAGTGATGGGGGTGGGTAGAGAAACAGTAAGGGTGAACTTGAGAAATTCAAGGCTGTGGTGTGGGCGGGAGTCAAGGCTGTGACGTTCCGGAACTGATGGCGTAGTGGGAGGAGCCAGAGAAAATTAGCAGAGGCTACAGGGACTGGAAAACTCAGGGATCCCGACTAACCCCATGCAGCTAGAGTGAACGGCAGACGGGGAGCCCAGACCGAGGGGGAGCCCAGATCGGGTCCCAGCCAGGCAACCAGGACGTGAAAGCTCACCCGAGCCACGAGAGTCACGTGGGACGGACTGCAAAACTCACCCCGGTCAGAGCATCGCGGTGGCGGGAACCACAGGCCGGGGTCTGGAAAACTAGCAGGTCAGCGCAGCGGCGGGTTTCGGAGGAAAAGGACCAGGGTTTGATGTTCATTAAGGAAACCAGCTAGAAAATACTGTTTGCTAATATTTTATCCTTCAGTGTAAAGTTTTGGTAATAAGAACTGGGTAATCCTAGTTGTTATTATTTATCTCATATGCTTGAATATTCTTATAACAATAATCTCGTAGATAATTTGAATGTACGTGTTGATGTTTGTAAATTAAGAACAGCGCCTGCGAGACTGTAAGAAATACTTTAATTGTTGTTCTTTTTGCTGTTGTGGAAAAACAAAGCGTTTCCTAATTTAAAGTCATCAATGAATTCTAATGTCCTTTTCTCCCAATCTGTTATCTAAGGCCATATCATTAGTACCTGGCACCTTGGCCAAGAGAGCTTGTTAGTTTGTCAGGTAGGAAAGACTCCGATTTGATTGAATGAGAATAAATATGCGAGCAAGCCCCACAGTTACAGTTCTAAACATTAATTGTTAGTGTTCCATCTGAAATACATACACTCTGTGATGCAAATACAGCTATCAAAAATGCACATTCTTATGCTGAGGTCTTAATATTACACTTTAGGGTCCAGACAAACACAGCGTGCATGCTGAGTGTGAGGAGATCATTTCCTACTATTTTTATAGCCAGAAAATGCATTATAGAACAGGATGATGCCAGAAAGCATCTTTTGAATAATTATGATAACTCATCTTCATCAGAAAGATGTCTCTTTTGTTTCCTTGATTCAAGAAACGTTCTCTTGCAGTGGACAGACACATGCCCAAGCTGTTGTGTTTTATTTCATTGTTGACATTCAGTGATGTGACTGTGGACTTTCCCTGGAGAAGGAGGAATACTTAGACCCTGCCCAGAGAGCTTTGTACAAAAACCTGCTGATAGAGAACTACAGCAGTCTGGTTTCTGTGAGTAAGAAGAGATTTTGTTTGTTTTTCAGTGCTTCTTCCTTATTCTCGGGTTCCTTGGCAAATTAATGATTCTGCATGTGTGTTATGTGTGAGCTTTGTGTTGACGAGTCTTACATTTCATAGAGCAAAGTGAAAATCTCAGAGGAAAAAGGAATGATTTCATGACATTTTTGTCTTTTCTTCATGTTTGTCCTTTTGGAGGGGTTAAACTTCTTCCATTCTGTTCCATGGATAATTAAGAAACTCAATAATGTACAGTATTATCACCCAATCATAAAGTTCTGTTTCTACTCTAGAATTTTGACTGAGCTGTAATTAGAATCGGGACTCAAGATACACATATGAATCTAAATATTTTCAATATTCTGACAGGAAATAACAATTGGGAAGTAATTTCTAGAGTCCTCTTTTGTTTTCTCTTCATAGGGCACAGCACTGTATTTGATGTAAGTACTTAATGAATCAATCTGTTTCTCACATGCAAATCTCACACTGATGACACCTGGTCACCTATCTGGAGCAAAACAAAGAGCCTTGGAAAGTGAAGAGGCAGTAACAAAGGTACCAGGGAGGGTAGAGGCAGGGCCCAGGTTCAGGTTTTCATGAAAGTGGAAACCTGATGTGAAAAGAGTTTGACCACATTCTGTTTTACTAGAAATTATTATAGACAAGACTGCTGAGAAGAATCTCTTCAGGATTGCCCTGTTGTAGACATTAGACTTTCTATGTGTGGATATACATATACATATAGTTTTATTTGACTATGCTTGTGAGTTGTGATGCCCCTGTTCCATTCATGTCTCTGTGCTTCCATACCAGTATTACATGGTTTTCATCACTATAATTTTAATATATTGTAAAGGAAAATTGATGCCTCTAAATTTGTTCCTGTTCTCAGAATTTCAAAGCTATTTGTAGTTTCTTCAGATTTTTATATCTGTTAGAGTTAATTTCTCCATTTTCTCCAACAATTCTAGAATTTTGATAAGAATTGCTTAGTATCTTCACAAAGTGTTAAACTCCATGCATTGCCTTCCCCTTCCTATCTCTGGTTGTCCGTTTTCATGCCAGTACCACGTGATTTCACTATAATTTGAATGTATTTTGAAGTCACCTCTAAGTTTTCTCTTTTTTTCAAAGATCTTTGAACTCTGTGTTTTCTCAAAATTGTATATCCTTCTAGGATTAATGTCTGCAAAAAAGATGTCAGTAGGATTTTGATACGAATTGCATTAAATCTTTTCAGAGGGCTAACTTCCTCCTACATTTTGTTCTCTTGTATGAATAAGAGCATGTTAACTATGTGTCATTATTCACGTACCATTTATGTATTATGTTTTCTATCTGCTGTTATTGTCTGTATTCCAGATTGGTTTTCCAGCTGCTATTGATGTCATTATTCCAGATTGGTTGTTCTATATCTGAGACATTACAGTACAGAAGAGTGTTACTTGATGGTTCAGAAGATGGTGTCTGATTCTCTGCAGACCTGCTAAGCATAATTGGCTCTGTGTACTGTTCATGGTCTGCTTTCCCTACTAATATCCTGTCCGATTTCATTCTCTTCAGTGACTGTGGAGTATTGACCTTTCCCAGCACCACTGTCCATATACCAAGGCTTGCTTTATCTTAGAAAATGTTTTGTAAAATGTGTCCATATTGATCACATAGTCTTATAGTGAATGGGCCATTTTGTCCCTGGTTAGTAATATTCTTTGTTTTGTATTTGAATAGATTTTTTTTTTTTTTGCCTATTACCTACCATAATTGTGACCATAACCCTTCCTTCTTGCTGAGGGTATATCTTTTTGTTTGGTTGGTTTTATTTTGTTTTTACCTCCCTAAGGGACAATAATAAAGTGAAATATAAGAACATAAAACAAAAACTAATGCATCAGACTACAACAAAACAAACAAACAGAAGGAAAAGAACCCTAGAAAAGACAGAAGAAACAGGTAAGACAAAGTCCCACTTGTTTGGGTGGGTCTCAGAAATCCTATAAAAAAAACACTAAACTGGAAACCATAATATATACCCAATGAACCTGTAGGGTAAAAAGAGAGAATATATTAAAAATAAACCTAAAAAAATTAAAAGTAAGATAAAATTAAAAAGAAAACAAATAAACAAAAAACAAGTAGAAAGCCCTGACACAACATTATGAGACAAGGAACATTCAAAGATGCCATTGTGTTCATTTTCTGTTGGCTTTGTACTGCTGTTAATGTAGACTACCCTTAAGAGTAGTTTCCCAGTGAGATTCCCTTGGAGCAAACTAAATTTTTATTAGCAGATGATTATCAATTGGAGATTGCTTCTGAGTTAGAGATGGGGACATGTGTCTACTTTCAGCTCTAGGATTCAATCCGGTGCAGACCCCTGCAATCCCAGTGCATGCTGCCTCAATCTCTGTGAGTTCATATATGCTTCAGTCCTGTTGATTTAGAGGTTTGTTTTCTTGGGGTCCTCCACCCCTCTGTCTCTTATATTCTTTCTGCCTCCTCTTCTTCAGGGTTCCCTTAACCCTGAGGAGAAGTGTTTGATAGAGACATCAAATTTAAAGCTGATTGTTCCAATGTCTCTCACTCTCTGTATTTTTTGGTTGTGACTCTGTTTATTCCCATCTGCTACAGGAGGAAGCCTCTGGTGATAGCTGAACAAGGCACTGATCTATGAGTGTAGTAGAATTATACCAGTCTTTTTCTTTTGTCTTTTGTATATAGTTGGGCTACTCATTTTTGTGAGTTGTTTTTTTATCCAGGTATTTTGCTGAAAGTGTTTATGAACTGGAGGTTTCTCTTGATGGAATTTTTGGGCCACTTGTATGTACTATCATTTGCAAATAAAGATACTTTGACTTCTTCCTTTCAGATTTATATCCCTTTGATCTCTTTCAGTTGTTATATTGCTCTAGCTGAGACTTCAAGTACTGTATTGAATAGACATGGAGAGAGTGGATAACCTTGTTTTGTTCCTGATTTTAGTGGAGTTGCTTTAAGTTTCTCTCCATTTAAGTTGATATTTGCTTTGTGTTTGCTGTAAACTGCTTTTATTATGCTGAGGTATGTTCCTTGTATCCCTAATCTCTCCAGATCTTTTATCATGAAGGGGTGTTGTATTTTGTCAAAGGCCTTTTCTGTATCTAACCAGATGATCATGTGGTATTTCTCTTTCAGTTTGTTTATATGGTGGATTACATTTATTGATTTACATATGTTGAACAATTACTGCTGGGATGAAGTCTACTTGATCATGGTGGATGATCATTTTGATGTGTGCTTCGATTTGATTTGCAAGTATTTTATTGAGAATGTTCATTATGGAAATTGATTCACAATTCTCTTTCTTTGTTGGGTCTTTATGTGGTTTGATTATCAGGGTAAGTGTGGCCTCGTAAAAATAAACTTGCAATGTTCCTTCTGTTTTTATATTGTGGAATAATTTGAGGAGTATTAGCATTAACTGTTATTTGAAAGTCTGGTAGAATTCTTCACTGAAATCATCAGTCCCTAGGCTTTTTTTTGATTCATAGATTTGTTAATGACTGCTTCTATTTTACTAGTGGTTAAAGGTATGTTTAAATTGCCTACCTGGTCTTGGTTTAACTTTTGTAGGAGGTATAAATAGAGAAAATGATCCATTTCTCTTAGATTTTCCAGTTTGGTGGAATACAAATATAAAATGATTCTCTCGATTTTCTTAGTTTCTCTTGTTATGTCCTCTTTTACTTTCTAATTTTGTCAACTTGGATATTCTCTTTCCACCTTTAATTAATTTGGATAAGAATTTGTCAGTCTTATTGTTTTTCTCTAACCAATTCTTTGTTTCATTGATTCTTTGTATTGTTTCTTTTTTCTATTTTATTGATTTCAGGCTTGAGTTTGATTATTTCTTGCAGTATACTCCTTTGGTTGTTAATTCTTCTCTTTGTTCCACATCTTTCAGGTGTGTTGTTAAGTTACTGGTATGAAATCTTTCCAACTTTTTTGTGTAGGCACTTAGTACTATGCACTTGCCTCTTAGAATTGCCTTTATTGTGTCCTATAAGTTTAGATATGTTGTGTATTCATTTTCATTCAGTTCTAGAAAGTTTTAAATTTTTTTTTATTTCTGTCCTGACTCATTTTTCATTCAATAGAGAATTGTTCAGTTTTTATGAGTTTGTAGGCTTTCTGTTGTTTCTATTGTTATTGGTTTCCAACTTTAATCCATGGTGTTCAGATTGGATGCAGGGTATTTTAATTTTCTTGTATCTGTTGACACTTACTTTGTTTATGAGTATGTTGTAAGTTTTGGAGAAATTTCCATGAGGTGCAGAGAAAAAGATATAGTCTTTTATGTTTGGTTGAAATGTACTGTAAATATCTGTTAGGTCCATTTGGTTTATAATGTTGATTAGCTTCAGCATTTCTCGCTTTAGTTTTTATCTGGATGACCTGTCTATTGGCAAGAGTGGAGCATTGAAGTCTTTCACTATTAGTGTGTAAGAGTCAATATGTGATTTAAGCTGTAGTGTTGTTTCTTTTATGAACTTACGTGCCCTTGTGTTTGGTGTATAGATGTTAAGAATTGCAATGTCAGCACATGCCTTTAATCCCAGCACTTGGGAGACAGAGCCAGGCAGATCTCTATGAGTTTGAGGTCAGCCTGGTCTACAGAGCAAGATCCAGTACAGAAACCAAAACTACACAGAGAAATCCTGTCTCGAAAAACCAAAAAAAAAATAATAATAATAATTTAAAATGGCTTGACTGACTTGCTTCCTGGATCCATTTGTCTCTAATATTTTTCCCTTTATTCTTAATCAGGGGCGATGTCTATCCTTGATGTTAAGGTGTGTTTCTTGAATGCACCAGAAGGATAGATCCTGTTTTGCATACATCTTGTTAGTCTGTGTCTTTTTCCTGTATAATTGAGACCATTGATGTCAGAGGAGTTATCAATGAGAAATATTTGATGATTCCTGTTATTTTGTTGTCGGTGGTGGTAGTGGTGAAGGTGTGTGTGCATGTGTGTGCTTCACCTCTTTCAGTTTGCTTGTCTGAGAATATTTATCCCTGTGTTTTCTTGGGTGTAGTTAATCTCTTTAGATTGGTATTTTTTCTTTTGGTGGATTCTGTAGGGGTGAATTTGTACATAGATATTGCTTAAATATGGTTCTATTGTGGAATTTCTTCCTTTATCTATTGTGATTAAAATTTTGGTGATTCTAGCCTGGACTGGCTTCTGTGGTCTTTTAGAGTCTGTAGTCCCTTCTAGCTTTTAAAGTCTCTGTTGAGAAATTAGGTGTAATTCTGATAAGCCTACATTTATATCTTGGTATTTTTCTCTTGCAGCTTTTTTTTTAAAGCGTGTGATAAAGATTTATTTATTTTTTATGTTTTTCATATTTTCTTTTTTTTTTAAATTTATCTATTTATTTTTTATCTTTGTTTTTATTAAGAA